CACTTCTCTTCTCCTGCGGGATTCTCACAATCTCTCACTCTCTCTTAAAAAAAACTCTTAGTGTGTGTTTACAACTAGAGACAGAGAGCTACACAAAAGGGAGTTCTCTCAAATTTTGTATGTGCGTTGTATTGAGACATTGAATATAGTGAAGCTCCTCTCTTGTCGTGGACGTAGATCAATTTGATCGAACCACATAAATTCTTATGTGCTTGTGTTTCTTGTTATTTTCTGTTAGGAGTTTTTATTTTGATATTCTTGATCAAATCGCTATGGAATTATCTCAACAAACTGGTATCAGAGCTTCTCGGTTCTAGGACAGTTTTTAATCCTCCATAATGGCTTCTGTGAAGTTCTCGGTGTCGATCTTTGATAGCCAGAACAATTTCGGCCTATGGAGGATAAAGATGAAGGCTTTGTTGCGACGTGAAGGCACAGTTAAAGCTATCGATGGAAAATACCCAGAAGATATGACTAGTGTTGAGATCGAAGAGATGAACGAAAAGGCTCACATCGCCTTGCAATTGTCACTATCAGACAATGTGCTTGCCGATGAGAAAACGACAGCGGGGTTATGGTCAAAACTCGAAAGTCTCTACTTAAAGAAATCTCTTACTATGAGATTATACCTAAAGTAGCGGCTATACACATTGAAGATGAAAGAAAGGTACACCCATTCAGGAACACCTTGATGAATTTAATAAAATTGTCATGGATATGAAAAACTTGGATCTAAAGCTTGATGATGAAGACCAAGCTCTCATTGTGTTGTGTTCCTTGCCTGACTCTTATGAAAACTTTGTCAACTCCATGTTGTATGGAAGAGAATCCATAAGTCATGAGGATGTGAAGGCCTCTTTGAATTCTGCTAAGTTAAGAACAAAGTTGAATGTGAGAGGTACCGATAGGCAGGCTGATGGTCTGCTAGCCAGAGGTAGAACGAAGATCAGAGAGGGTGATAAAGGGCAATCCAGAAATCATTCAAAATCCAGGTCAGCCCAAAACAAGAAACATATAGAGTGTTTCTATTGTCACAAGAAAGGACATTACAGATCAGAATGCTATGCTCAAAAGAAGAAAGACAACCAACGTGGTGAAACCTCAGATTCAGCTAATACAAAAAAGACTGATACTGTCGTTGTTGCTGAGACGATTCTTACAGTTTGTCCCTTGGATGGCTGTTCCGATAGAGAATGGATATTGGATACGGGTGCGTCTTATCATATGTGTCCAAATAAAGATTGGTTCACTACTTACAGATCTATAAGTGCTGGATTAGTTTTGATGGGCAACAATGCAGTTTGAAAGACAGTTAGCATTGGTACAGTTCGTATCCGGTGTCACGATGGGATAGTGAGAACTTTATTAGATGTGAGACACATCCCGGACTTAAAGAAAAATCTAATTTCTTTGAGTTTTTTGGATTCTATTGGGTGTTCTTACACTGGTGGAGGTGGAGCTCTTAGAGTTACTAAGGGTTCATTGGTTGTGATGAAATGTAATAAGGTAAACCGTCTTTATGTTCTCCAAGACAGTATGGTGACAGGATCTGCAGGTGTGCCCTCTGATGCTGATAGGGACGCTACTCAGTTGTGGCACATGCGCTTAGGCCACATGAGTAAGAAGGGGATGACTATTTTGAGTAACGTGGTTTACTCTGTGGTGACCATACATCATCACTAGATTTCTGTGAGCATTGTGTGTTTGGGAAGCAAACTCGGGTCAGCTTCTCGACTGCCTCGCATACGACGAAGGGCATTCTTGACTACATCCATTCAGATTTGTGGGGACCTGCTCAGGTTACATCCAAAGGTGGTGCTCTCTATTTTCTGACATTTATTGATGATTTTTCAGGAAAGTTTGGGTTTACTTTCTCAGGCGCAAAAGCGAGGTGTTCGAAACTTTCAAGAAGTGTAAAGTACTTGTTAAAAATCAAACTGAAAAGCAAGATTAAACGTCTCCGAACAGATAATGGCCTAGAGTTTTACAGCGGTGAGTTCAATCAGTTCTGCTCAAATTTTAGGATCGTACGACATCACACGGTCAGGCACACTCCTCAGCAAAACGGGGTGGCAGAACGCATGAATAGAACGTTGACAGAAAGAGCTAGGTGTATGCTCTCAAATTCTAGGTTGGATAAAGACTTCTGGGCTGAAGCTGTTAACACAACTTATTACTTGATGAACTGGTCTCCTTCTACCATTATTGAACATAAGACTCCAAATGAGGTATGGTCAGGTAAACCAAATAACTATTCAAATTTAAAGGTATTTGGATGTCCCGCTTACTATCACGTTAGAGAGGGTAAGCTTGAGCCTAGAGCTAAGAAATGTATATTTATTGGTTATGCTGATGACGTTAAAGGCTATCGTTTGTGGAGTCTTGAACCTGATTCTCCTAAATTCATTATTAGTAGAGATGTTACTTTTAATAAAAGATATATGTTTGATCATGGGAAGGTTTCTGTTGAGTCTACAGAAAATATAGAGAAGATCATGGATAAGGTGGAGCTTCAGGTTGAGCTCGAGGAAGAGACTTCTCAAAAGTCATCTATAAAAATTGCTCCTACAGTTGTAGAAGAGCAACATGATTCAGGCTCAGATGATGATGATGCTGAGACTGAAGAACCTTATTCTATAGCCACTGGCAGAGAGAGGAGACAGATCAGACCTCCTCAAAGTTTGCACATGCTGAATTAGTGGCGTATGCTCTCACGACAGTTGAAGAGATGTGTATTCAAGAGCCATTAAACTTTACTGAAGCTATCTCATGAGGAGAATCCGGACGTTGGGTCACGGCTATGTCAGAAGAACTCGAGTCACATTACAAGAATCAGACTTGGGATTTGGTGTAATTATCTATGGGAAAAAAGGCAATTGGATGCAAGTGGATTTTCAAGAAGAAAGAAGGGATCCCAGGGGTTGAAGATGCTAGATTCAAAGCACGGTTGGTAGCTAAGGGTTATAGACAAAAGTAGTGAATTAACTATGATGAAGTGTTTTCTCCGGTTGTGAAGCATACCACCATACGTGTATTGTTTGCCATGGTTGCTCTATTTGATCTGGAGCTTGAACAGCTTGATGTGAAGACTGTATTTTTGTATGGCGAACTTAAGGAGACTATCTACATGTCTCAGCTAGAAGGATACTTCGTAGAAGGTAAAGAGATCAAGTTTGCAAATTGAAAAAATCTTTGTATGGCCTAAAGCAATCTCCCAGCTAGTGGTACAAGAGGTTTGATAATTTTATGCTTAGTCATGGGTACTCAAGAAGTACTTATGATAGTTGTGTGTACTACATACATCTAGGAGATGATTCTTTTATTTATCTTCTATTATATGTCGATGACATGCTTATTGCTGCTAAGAACATATCGCAGATTCTTATTTTGAAGAAACAACTCAGTGATGAGTTTGAGATGAAAGATCTTGGTGCAGCAAAGAATATATTAGGTATGAAGATCAGGAGGGACAGGAAAGCTGGAACATTATATCTCTCACAGAAGAGTTATATTAAAAAGGTGCTTGAACGCTTTTGGATGAAGAGGGTCAAACCCGTTACGACTCATTTGGCTCCTCACTTTAGACTCTCGGCTTCAGATTCACCTACAAGTGAGAATAAGAAGAAGGAGATGTCCCGAGTTCCATACTCTAATGCAGTGGGTAGCATTATGTATGTTATGATTTGCAGTCGTCCAGACATTATCCAGGTAGTCAGTGTAGTGAGCAGATACATAGCTCAACTAGGGAAGGCACACTGGAAGCAGTGAAGTGGATCCTTCGATATCTCAGGGGTACCTCAGATTTGGGTTTAGTTTTTGATAGCAGTACTTTGGGAACCTCAGTTGTAGGTTTTGTGGATTCTGACTATGCAAGTGATCTCGATAAAAGGAGATCTTTGACTAGTTATCTTTTTACTCTTTCTGGCTCAGCTATTAGTTAGAGATCGACTCTAGAGTCGACGGTTGCTTTGTCTACTACAGAGGCAGAATACATGGCAACAGCAGAAGCGGTAAAAGAGGCCATTTGGTTGAGAAATCTCATAAAGGAACTTGGACTTCAGCGGGAGGCTAGTTCAGTTGTATTTTGCGACAATCAGAGCGCAATACATCTAAGCAAAAACTCAGCACATCATGAGAGGACAAAGCATATTGATGTTAGATATCATTTCATTCGTGAGGCAACTGCTGAAAGAAATATCACGATGAAGAAGATTGGTATTGCAGACAACCCAGCTAGCACGTTGACCAAACCGATCCCGGCCTTCAAGTTCAAGCACTGCTTGGATTTGGGAAGCATTCACAACTGTTAGATGGCCCCGTGTTGGGGCATTGTGTGCAAGAGGGGTCGAGGTTCACTGGTTCTATTATGAAGTGAACTCTCACGTAAGCTTAGAAATGTGTTCATGATGAATATTCAACTTCTTGATGTTTGAAAATTCAATCAAAGGTGGAGATTGTTGATATTGGCTTGAATTTGGCCAAATGGCTAGAGCCCATTTTGTTTTGAAAGGGAGAACACAAAATTTGACTTCGGAGGGTCAATAATGAGGAAATCTTATATTCACTAAATGATGAGATTTTCTCTTTGGCAGAAGCAACAATCGCTTTCAAGCGGAGAGTCGTTTTCAACAATTGCGGCTGATTTGAGCCGAAGAAAATGATAGAGGGAGGTCGTTGTCAAAAGGTCACCCTCACTTCTCTTCTCCTGCGAGATTCTCGCAATCTCTCACTCTCTCTTAAAAAAAACTCTCAGTGTGTGTTTACAACTAGAGACAGAGAGCTACACAAAAGGGAGTTCTCTCAAATTTTGTATGTGCGTTGTATTGAGACATTGAATATAGTGAAACTCCTCTCTTGCCGTGGACGTAGATCAATTTGATCGAACCAGGTAAATTCTTGTGTGATTGTGTTTCTTGTTATTTTCTGTTTGGAGTTTTCGTTTTGATATTCTTGATCAAACCGCTACGGAATTATCTCAACAAATATTAACTTGCACATACCTCTTCTATTTTATTTTCTGCTTCCATTGGCTCAAAGTCGAGCTGCACCTGAATCCTTTCAGCTTCTACCTTTTGGTGCTCAAGTTCTTTTCTCAGAGATTCTAATTCCAACTTTAACTTTTCCTTCTGAAGAGAATAGTGATGTACAATGGACTGCATCTTTCTCATTTCTGAAAAAGAGAGAATATAATACAGTATGACTATTACATTTATGATTTGTCATTCATAGTATGACTATTACATTTATGATTTGTCATTTTACGGATAAAAAGGCACTTCATAACTGAACGACATTCAAGCCAACATTTGCAGCTGATCCAAGAAAATGGCATTAGATTGAACATTCAGCACATAGTTATGCCTAATCGTCAAGTAAAATTGGTAGCTCCTTTTAACAGTTTATAGAAATAAATGGAGAATTCAATATCAGGATATAAAAAGGATAGCAATATATATCTGCAGGCGTGTGCTATCTTAAGATGTAGATTAAAATCCTATTATGCAACAACTTGATCAATCATCCTTTGGCAGGTCGACCCTACATGCAGTACTGTCAGTTTTGCTAAAATATATGGTTCTGCGGCTAAGAAAACAGACCGAAGGTTTTTGTTTACTCTTATGTGCTTAAGAAAACTATTTAAGAGCCTATATATGGGCTTTGGTGTGATTTAACAATTGAAACTTTAGTTGTGATTTGTTTATCAATTATTATACAGTGTGGATATACGTATATATAATAAAGACTACTACTATATTGTTTACGTTGAAAATTCCTGTAAACTAACTTAATCTTCCACAAATATGCAGGTCAATCATTGGGATGGATTCTTTTAATAAACAATATCAGAAGTACAAAATACAAACCAAGTGCTGTAAATTTGAATATATGGCAGATGTTAAATTTGTCATATGTTGACCTCAAATTAGCAAACCATATTAAGCTGATATAATTCAACTATGTAGTGAACATTAAGCTATGTGGCAAACATGCACACCAGATAAGACATTAGAAAGTAGGAAAAAGTCAAAGAGAAATTTCAAATGGCGAATTGCACCAGGAAATCAGTTAGAATAGAATTTGTAGATGGAAAAATGAATGCAGATTCAAATCTATTCAAGATAATAGTTCTGCTCCAACGAAGAAATTTTGTGGGAATTTATCTTTTGACAACACCATTTCCAGTACTACTTCAGCCAAATAAAAATTCTGAATAAAGCTTCGATAACATTTATTTTAGTTGGTGCAAATGGTGGACAGAAAAATAAAACACTAAGTAAGGAAATAATTCAAATGAAACACTAAGGAAAAATAACATTCACTTCCAGTACTTGGACAATAGTAAGGAAATAATTCAAATGAAACACTAAGAAAATAATTGTTTGTTTCAGCAGAATAATTCAAATGAAACACTAAGAACGTAATTGATTGCTTCAGCTGACAAATATGAACTATTCAGCCATAAAAGCAAACATTGCACTGAAGTTTCTATATGATATTGAAATTTCAGCTGTAACAATTTGACATATAAATTTCTGTTACTAGTTCCTACCTATTAAATGCATATACTCTATGTAGGCATGACTTGGCTTACAGTACATAGCCATTTTAAATAAAATATTTCAATCTTTGGATTATCTTATAGGTCATATGTAATCAAAATTTTCGAAAATGACCCTTGTGAGTTCTCCTAGTTGCACATGGGTTACTTCTCAGTTAGATGAGATGAAAATATGTGCATCAAAAAGGTAGCATTAGCTAGCTGCTTGGCCAATTTACCTCCACCTTGTTAGCTTAGAGCGCACCGAACTACGACGGTGATGAAAAGCTTCAGATGACAAGTTATGAACCATGATAGTTGATAGTGAAATGAATACCTTGAATATCATAATAAATGAACTTTTTGGCCATCATATCTAAGGAAAATGCAAGAACATGTGGTCTTATGCTTTTGCAGAGTTGTAATTTAATAGAAAAGCAAAATCTATTGTTCATGAAGAATGAAAAAGTATCAATAGTAGAAGAATAACCTTCAACATATGCTCCTTGCAGCTTACCTTTTTCTTCCATTGCCTGTGCATGAGCGGAGTTAACCCCATTATACTTATGCTTAAGTTCTATGAGTTGTTTATTCTTCACATCAACTTCATGGACTAGCCTCAGAACAAGTTTGTTCAGTTTGCATATTTCTTCACCAGCCATGAAACAACCTGTGTTCACAGGTAAAGTTACTGGGAACACTGCAAACAATTTGAAGAAATAGGTTCAGGTAGCTTCAAATAGGTATAATACTTCTTAAAAACAGAATTTGCATAACTCATAAACCAGCAAATCATCAAAGAGCAAAACCAGAATTGAAATTAGTTCACTCCAATGTATCAGAAATATTAAAAGATAAGTTGAACTGCATTATATATTGTCTATTTATATCATTATATGTCAGGATAAGGGTTAAATATATGTGTCATCAGCAAGTGTTACATTCTTCTTCATCCCCACCACCACGCGCACACGCAAATCATCCACTTGCATGGACACACGTACATGCACAGGCACAGGCAAAGATATATCTCAATAAAATACAAGTACCTACAGATAGGGAACAGTAAGTTGAATACAAGGAGATGGGTGAAAAGAGAGACAGAAGATCAGATTTATATGTCCTGTTTCCAGACTCAACCAAAGATATACCCCACTAGAACCCCAAAGTATGTATTGGCAACCATTTTGGAGCCCTCCAAACACCTGTTTCTCAACATAAACCATTTGACTTTAAGATTCTGGTACATTAGACTACACACAAAGTAAATCTTTTTTTTTTGGGGTGGGTGGGGGGGGGGGGGGGTAATTTCGCAAGCCTTTGCCCATTTTCAGGATAAGTACCCTTAACTTTAACAATATCACAAAAACCGCATAAGTTGGCCAATCAGATAACACCCCTAAACTTAAAAATCACAAAACCTCCCTTTAACACAGCTAGATTTGATTGTGCATGTAAAAATAATGTGCGTGAAAATGATCAAACTGCTCCTGATAAAAATAGCACTTTCATGCCCTTTTAAATCATTATAAGGTAATTCACATAAAAACGCTTCAGTTAGAGTTAGGGATTAGATTAATTTAATTAAATTTAATACTTATAGTGTTAATTTCAAAAAAAACATTTAGTCTTTTCACTACTTCAATAACACTTCAGTTTTTTTTGGTGTGGTGGTGGGGTGTGTGTGTGTGGGGGGTGGGGGGGGGGCTGAAACACGCCAACTCTAGGGATTTTAACTCATTTTGAAAGTTTAGGGGGGTTATCTCAAAATAGGTCAAACTTAAAGGGCGTTCAGTGACACTTCTAAAGTTAAAGCTAAGGGGGTTATCTCAAATCCAAACCTACTGGGGGTTTTGTAAAATTTATACTTCTTTTTTTAATTTCAAGACCTCAATCAACGTTGAAAAAAGGGAAAGTATGAAGGGAAACTTTATATCATAAATGTTAGATCTTTCTTTTTTCCCCCTTCAGAACAAACATACATTATCAATAATAATGTTAATAACTATGAATGTGATGCGAAATATCAAAATACACCAAATAAAGAGCAAGAATTCGTGAGATCGCACCTTTTTTTTAATATTTGTGTATTTTTCTTTATTTGGATCTAAGCTTAGAGGGGGGAAATATAAATATGAGAGAGAGGAAAGGGAGGAGAAAAGTGGAGGATTGTCCTCAGTAAGAACCCTAAAACTTGACACGATCTCTCAAAAATTAGACAAACCCTAGAAATATCTGAGCTGATAATGAGAGAAAAAGGATAAATGTGTGAAAACGGCGAAGGAATTGAGAAAAACGTGAAGAATAAGCAAAACAGACTCCACCACACCCTGGTGTGGTGTCTGTTATGGGTATGGCAGAATCTGCCCTGTCTGCCATGGGTGTGGTGTCTGCCACACCCAGATGTGGCAGAATCTGCCCTGTTTGTCATGGGTGTGGTGTGTGCCACACCAGGGTGTGGCAAACTCGTTTTTAGAATCCTAATCTATTTGTGATTGGGTTTTGTTATAAATAGAACCACGTTTTTTAGGGTTTCTTAAGGAGAGAATTAGCATTGTTTTGAGCACTTTGAGAGTGTTAAAGTAAGAGAGAGAGAATCTTGGGTAAATTTCCCTTAAGTTGAATATTAAGTGTGCACATATATTTATACAAGTAGAGGAGTGTGAGGTTTGTTCTCCCAAGCAATGTGGGACTAAAACCCATTACAATACACTATTATCAACAGCCCCCTTCAAACTCATATTGGATCAAACAAAGTGAGTTTGCGTACAAGAAACTGGAACCGATGAACAGGTAAGGCCTTTGTGAAGAAATCTACAAGCTCGTCAGCGGATGAAACATGAGGAAGTAGAATTGTCTTGTCCTTGATAACTTGGTGACGGACAAAATGAGCGTCGATCTCAATATGTTTGGTCCTTTCATGAAATACTGGATTATTAGCAATCTGGATGGCACTCTTATTATCACAGTAAAGAGGAGTAGGAGTCGTAACAGAAATGCCGAAATCACTGAGAAGTCGACGAAGATGAATAATCTCTTTAGTTGTTGTGGACATTGCACGATACTCTGCCTCAGTACTGGAAAGAGCAATAACATCTTGTTTCTTACTTCGCCAGGAAATAAGGGAATCACCAAAAAATATTCAATAACCTGTGGTAGACTTTCTGGTAGTTGGATCACCAGCCCAATCAACATCAGAATATGCACAAAGCTCTAATTTAGATGTAGCAGGAAACAAAAGAGAGCGAGTGCTAGTACCTCGGAGGTACCGAAGAATCCGTAATAAGACAGCATAGTGTACAGAACATGGGGCACTAACAAATTGACTGACAATACCAACAGCATGAGAGATATCTGGTCGAGAGATGCACAAATAGACCAACTAGCCAACAAGATGTCGATATCGGGTAGGATCGGATAGAGGCTCGCCATCAGTAGAGCAAAGTTTGACATTCTGCTAGAGTGGAGTATCGACAGTTGCATTGTCAGTTAGCTCAGCTTGATTTAGAATATCTGAGAGATACTTCTGTTGAGACAGTAATACACCCCGTGGGTCTTGAGAAATTTCTAGACCAAGAAAATACCGAAGAGATCTAAGATTCTTCATGTGGAACTGTTGTTGCAACTGAGATTTTGCGTATTGTATACCTGCCATATCATCACCTGTAATGATCATATCATCTACATAGATAAGTAATAAAACTCTGTCACGCGATGTAGTACGAACAAACAGAGAAACATCTTGATGACTTTCTATAAAGCCCGCTTTGAGCACGACATCGCGAAAATACTCAAACCAAGCGCGGGGTGCCTACTTGAGACCATAAACAGCACGGCGAAGGAGACATACATGTCCCGGAGGAATATTTGATCCTGGAGGCGGTTGCATATATACGGTCTCTGATAAAGAGCCATGAAGAAAAGCATTTTTAACATCCGTCTGGTATAAGGGCCAACGATGAGCAGCAGCGACCGCAAGGAGAGTACGAACAGTGGGCATCTGAGCAACAGGAGTAAAGGTCTCCTCATAATCAATACCTTGTTGCTGAGTAAAACCTCGAGCCACTAAACGAGCTTTTCGACGTTCAATGGTGTCATCATGACGAAACTTGACCTTATAAACCCATTTACTGCCAACAAGAGAGATCCCAGGAGGACAGGGAACAACATTGACCTTATAAACCCATTTACTGCCAACAAGAGAGATCCCAGGAGGACAGGGAACAACATCCCAGGTATAAGTTTGTTGAAGGGCTTGAAATTCCTCAGCCATAGCCTGTCACCACTCTGGAATTTGAACTGCCTCTTGGAAGGACTTTGGCTCAACAATAGTATGAATGGCAGCAAGAAAGTTATGAAAGATAGGTGAATAAGAAGTAACAGAAGCATACCGAGCAGGCATGACATGTGGGCGTTTGCCTCGACGAAGAGCAAGAGGAACCTCAGGCGGGGGAGATGCTGGCGTAGGTGCGTGGAGATCAATAGTATTTTCTGGAGTGAGAGTTGTGTCCATGAGATATGAATTAGATGGTGTAAGAGAAGACTCGGGTGAGAAAGAGTCAACAGAAGGAGAGGGAGAGATGTCAGGGAAATCTCGAAAGGAAAATTAAGGTGAAAAAGTGGGTGATGCAGTTGATGGGGAAGCATGATCAGTAGAGTGGAGGAAATTAAAGTCATCAGAAGAAGAATAATATGGAGAATCCTCTTCGAACTGAGCATGATGAGATATATGAACTCGACGAGTTGCAGAATTATAACAACGATAACCTCGATGTTCTGAACTAATTCCTAAATAAACACAAGAAACAGCTCTGGGAGACAATTTATCACGTTCGTGAGATGGCAGAAAAACAAAACATCGACAACCAAAAACGCGAACTAGATCATAACGAGGAGGATGAGTATAAACAAGACTATATGGAGTAGCACCGGAAAGAGAGCTAGATGGAGTGATATTAATGGCATGAGTCGCGGTGAGAATAGCCTCAGCCCAGAAACGACAAGGAACAGAGTAAGAAATGAGCATTGATCGAGCAGTATCGAGGATATAACGATGTTTGCGTTCAGCAATACCATTTTGCTCATGAGTGTAGGGACATGACTGTTAAAAGATAGTCCCATGAGAGGACATGATAGAGCGCATGGTAGAGGATAGGTACTCTTTGACACAATCAGAACGAAAAACTTTAATACGAGATTGTCATTGAGTGAAAATCATAGCAGTGAAGGCTTGATAAGCAGTAAGTACGTTAGAGCTATTCTTAAGTAGGTAAACTCATGTAAAACGAGAGAAATCGTCGATAAAGCTAACATAATATAAGTAACCAGATGAAAAAGGCAAAGGAGCTGGCCCCTAAATATCAGAATGTACTAAATCAAATAAGAAAGTGGATACGGATGTACTCATTTTAAATGGTAAAACAGTGAATTTAGCCAATTTGCAACCAGTACATGACTCAATACTAGAACTAGATGATACAGGACCAAGTACTCTAGACTGAATAAGACTCTCCAGCCTTTTATTAGACACATGACCAAGTCGTTTATGCCATAAATTGGCAAGAAGCGAGGTAGAGGGTTTTGACGAACGAAGAGAAGCAATAAGAGAACGTGGACATATGTCGAGATTGGCTCGCTTCCCTCTGCTCGCGGTGTTGGCAACAAGAGAACATGGCCCGAGCAGAGGGAAGCGAGCCAATC